ATACACAGCTAATTTAAAATTTTTAGGTATATATATTACAGAGAATTTAAGTTGGTCCTCTCACATTCACCATTTAGTTCAAAAATTAAACAAAGCCATCTATCTTATTAAATCCTTACGAGATTTGGTCAGTCTTCCAATTTTGAGAAGTGTGTATTTTGCAAAATTTGAATCTTTATTGAGATACAGTATTATTTTTTGGGGTTGTGGTCAAAAGGACATTCAAACTGTATTTATAATCCAAAAAAAATGCTTAAGACTGATCAAAAGAGTCAATAACAGGGTATCGTGTAGAGAATTTTTTGGTGAATTTAAAATTTTAACCTTAACTTCATTGTATATCTTTGAGACGTTGTGTTTTTTAAGGAAAAATAGGATATATAACATCTCGTATTCAGATGTGCACGGTTATAACACAGTACATAAGCAGAAAATGTATGTCCAACCATGTAACACCTCACGTTGTAAAAGGAGTGTGATTAACATGGGAATAAGATTGTATAATAACTTGCCCTCTCAAATAAGAAGTATTCAAGAGTTCAAGGTTTTTAAGCGTCAATTAAAGGATTACTTGTTGTGCAAAGCTTTTTATTCCCTTCAAGAATATTTTTACAAGAATTAGCGCAATAATAGAATAAAGATACTTGGGTAATTTATTTTAGCTATTGCATGTAATTTATAGTTTAGCTTTTGTTGCCTAATTATACTCATCCACTGTTTTATCATATTTAAAGGACTTATTATGTTATTTTTCTATTGTTTTTGTATACTATTAGTCATTTGATGTGATGTTTTTAATCTTATATTTTTTTTTATAAAAAACTGACTTGTCCAATTGTACATAATGTAACAGTTATGGATGTTAAATCAATCAATCAATCAATCAATTTAATATACCCCTGAGATTATGAAGCATATAAAGAAAACTGTTAAAGCAGGAAATGCCCATGGTTCAGTGACTGTATAACTTAATCAAAATAAGTCTCACTCAATAATCTCTAATGAGATTTTGCATATGTGATAGCAAACGTTATGTCCTTTGCAACACAATGTTGCTCATAACTCTGAAGCATTATACTAATCCTAAAGTGTGGTCCAGCTCTAGTGAATGCATGTGCTGCAAGACATATATTTACCCAAATGAATAGCAATGGCTTATTTTAACAGTACTAAAAATTATTATCATTAATCTACATTGTTTCCAAGTGTTTCAACTTACACTTTAATTTTATGTTAATTCCAGTCTTGTTTGGGCATTGAATTCTTTAAAATTTCTTCCTGGAATTTGAAGATGGGATTGGGTCAAAGGTGAAGCAGCAGCTGTGCTTCAATGAAAACCACTGCAATTTCTTTGATACTGAAAACGATGTTCAACTAAGGCAGTTGTAAGTATGACTGAGTATCACGGTTGCTTTGCCATTCAAGTTAAGGTCTATGTTTTCAGTGATGTTAAAAGAAAATGTTTCCTAAAAGCATTTTATAGTGTCCAGCAGTGACAAAAATTCAAGCTCATGGAAATTTCCAAATCCATCGTCTGAATATACAAGGTTGTCCAACATCTCAATGAACAGTTTGTAGGATTTGAAGTTCTCATGGTGATGACTGAAGAGTACAATCTTCTGTGATCTGATGCCATGTAGTCTGGTAGAAGTTTAGGAATGTTTCAGAGGTATGCACTACCACCATCTGTGAAAGTTACTGAGTAAACCATGCAAACAAAGATCAGGCCAAATGGGGTTTTGGTCATATCCATCATCCTATTTTTATTTGCAACATTTTGGAGACTGAACTTTTCTTCTTCCTCAGGAGAAGAGCCCCCATGGCTGGACCTACTGAC